CAGGTAGTTCATTGCACAGGACACTTCCTGTCAGGTGAGCAAGGGTGGTGGAAAGTGGAGCTCACATCTTTGCAGGTGAGTTCGAGTTAAGAGCAGAGTTCTACAGAAGGGCTAAGTCTGTCAAGAGCCGCGAGAGAACTCTATGTAGAAAGACGTGTTTGGATGAGTGGCTTAGGTTTCCAGGTACAAAACTCCACTCAGGCCAGTGAAGTGAGGCCAGGAGTTGTGAGAGTCTGGGCAGTCCCATGGTCACATGGATCAGTTCAAGCCAGGCTTCATGAAAACTGGCTGTGGGAGAATGCTGAGGACCAAAGCAACTTCTTCATCCCTCAGGGGCCTTCTGCCTGTCATCTTTGCATCTCCACGGGCCTAGTTCCATTTTGTCTCTCAGACAGCTTTCTCTGTTTGACCTTGGCCCAGCCTGATTGCCAATGCCAAGTCCATACAACCGTACAAGTCCACAACCAGTGATGATGGATTTCTAGGTTTCCTAATTCAAATTCTTGAGGAAAAAAAAAGGGGACTGGACCAGTTCAGCTATGAATCAGTTCTTTTTAGATTGGGAAACCACCCTTGATCCGGTGGGATTTTCCTCTCTCATACATGACCACATAGCTCCCCTCCTTGTTCAGGGGCAATTTCTAGAAAAGTGGGCCATGGGTAGGGAAGAAAATGAGACCAGCCATGTGAAGATGATGAGACAGAGCATTTGGCCAGAGTAGAAGCAGTCAAGTTGTGCCTAAGTGGAGAGAGAAGAGCTGAAATGCCTGTGGAATATACACAGATTGTGAGTGGAGTGTGTGATCCTAGGGAGTCAGGAGGAGTTCACGGGGCCATGGGGAGCAGGACTCATAGTCACATGGGACAGGTCTCTTCAGTGGCCCCATGAGGCCCTTATCCTCATCCTACCCAGGATCACTGCAGCTCTGCCCTTGAGTGTGCAATCACACTGTGTACTCACCACCCCAAAAGCACCCAGCAACAGGCAATTAGGAGTGTTGTGTTGTGGGGCTGACAGGCCCATGTGTTTGGTATTAGGCCTGTCCTGGGAAACTGGTAACAAATCACTGTTTGGGGAGTCCGAGAAGTTCATGAACCTGACATAAAGCAAAAGAGAAAAGAATGGAAATTGTAGGGTCCGTGCAAGAAAGGGTTGTGTCTACTTTATGTCTTTCACAGTGCAAGGCTTAATGCCTACATTGGAGCTCATCTTCAGAAGTGTTGTCTGGTTGAATGAATGGAACTAAGAGAATGTAGTGAAGGGACAAAGTAAATGGAAGAGAAAAATCACAGCAAGGAAAATGCAAGAGAAGGGAAATGGGGACAGAAAGAAGAGGGAGACAGCAAGATTAAAGCAGAAGATACATATGGTAGGGGAAAGTATAAGGTTCATTTCATTCATTCCTTTATTCATTCAGCAGATATTTTTTGAGCACTTACTATGTGCCAGCCACAGGGCTAGGTGCTAGGGATATGGCATCAGATGAGACAGACAGTTTCTATTTTTACAAAACTCACCTTTCATCTGGAAAAGGTAGACTCCCAAAGAATAGTAACTAGTTGTTCAAAATTACAAATTGTGATAAATACTATGAAGGAAACAAATTAGGGGTTGAGAGAGAAACTATCAAGGCTGGAGGGAGAGAAGAGTTTCCTTAGATTGTGTAATCAGAAAAGTCTTCAGGGTGTGGGGGAACAGTCCGACTGGCTGGTTAGCTCAAATGGTTAGAGTGTGGAGTTATAACACCAATGTTGAGAGTTCAGATCCCCTTATCAGCCAGCCACAAAAAAAAATAGTCTTCTCCTTGGAAGAATTAGTTGCCCTTTTCTGGAACAAGGTGCATTCTGGAAGAAGGAAGAAGGGAATACTGGGAAAGCTCACTTCCAGGATGGGATATTAACAAAAAAGAAAAAAAAAAAACAAAAAAACTATTAATAGTGCAACCAAGCAGCCTCCATTCTGTTGATACACAGCAGCAAGCAAATAGCAAGCCTATTATTCCATGAAGTTAAAATGAGCAGGCATAAGATATCCCATAATCTTAGAGATCCCAAGAGTATGAAATAATCAGAAATGTAAGGAACAATCAATTGACACAGTACTTTGCAAGTAGTTAGGAGGCTCTGAAAATAAATGTAGACTCTAAAGTTACCACTAAGGGATTTCAGACTCATAGATAACCAGTTAATGAGTTTCTTTATCTATATAAAATTGACAGAAAAATAGCACAGACCAAGGGTGTGAAGATAAGTTGGCTTGGAAAATATATTTAAAATAAATTGCAATGGTTTGAGATTTGGAGGATTTGGAATTTTAAAATCATTCACTGTATTATTTTCTCAGCAGTGGGAAAAACCACCTGAACATTTCATTGTGCTATCTTTTTTAAACATTTAGATTTTGACAACATTGATAATCATACTTAAAATAGATCTATTTCAGAACAGGTTATTGATTACGGGCCAAATAACTATCATTAGTCCATTCTACATATTCATTAGCTGGTCCACATAGGTTTTCTGTCTTCAGCCCATCCCACGATCTAGTTTACCCCTCTCCTCCTCCTCCCATTAATGAAATGGAGATTTCAAAGTGTAACCCTTGTGAAATTTATCTGTGAATAAAAAGACATCTCTTATCTTTTACTGCCCGCTTTGGATTTCCTTTTCTTTGGTAATAGTGCCCCAGTTTCTTTAAGGGAATTACTCTTCCCCCATTGCATGCAGTCTTAGATCCCTGCCCTCCCATGACTTCCACTACATTAAGTCTGGGAACCCAAGAGTGGAAAGTGGCCAAGGTTATTTTATCACAGAAGCAATGTTGAAAAGCTGACATTAATTGGTACCCACCCCCCAGATCCCAGGAGCTGCCTCCACCTCCTGCCCCAAATCAGCTTTACCTCTCATTTTATGAGCTACCCCATCTCCTTTCAAAAGAAAACACTCTTTTTTTGCATCACAAACTAGAACCAAAATTTGGTTACTTGCAACCTGATATGGATTTCTATTAACTATTTTATGCTAGAGTAATATATTTATATGACAACTTTTCCCCTGTTGTCTTGACTCAGTGGAACTAAGATCTTGTCTTTTCTTAAACACACTCTGATTTCCAAACCTTTTACCATGATCAGGTTATTTTCTCCTCCTTGGATGCTCTTCCAGGCCTCTTTCTTTTTCTTTGGTTTTTTGTTTTGTTTTGTTTTGTTTTGTTTTTTTTGGTGGCTGGATGGCATGGAGATCCGAATCCTTGACCTTGGTGTTACAACACCGTGCTCTAACCAACCAAGCTAACTGGCCAGGCCTGGTCTCTGTTTCTGACTGTCAAAATTCCATCTTTATCAGGCTGGCTGGTTAGCTCAGTTAGTAAAAGCATGGTGTTGTAACAACAAGGTCAAGTGTTCGGACCTCAGTAGTAGCCAGACACCAAAAAAAAAATTTCCATCCTTACTAACAGTCTGAGTTTGAATGAAAGTTTACTGAGCTATCCTCTCATCTCACCTGCCAGAAATGAAGTTTCGTTTCTAGAAACCCTGATAAAACATGTTCATTCTGACAATGTACAATCTTCCTTACAAGAGTTTAAATTCCCTGAGGGCAGAAGCAGCATTTTATTCTCCAGTGACACCAATGCCTTGCAAAAATGTGGTGAGCGAATACTTGTTTCAATGATATGCTCAATATATTTTACATTTCTTGCTTTGGAAAGTTCTGAAGAGGGATTGTAAAGATGTGAATAAAATTCTGTCTGGGCCAATTTTATATTTAATGTTTGACAGCTGGGTTTCTTAGCTGGTCTTTAGGGAATCATTAAATCCCTGTACTTGGAAGCAAATGTTCTTTATATGTCTTCGTATATACCCAGTTTCATTTTTCCAGAGTCAGGATGCTATGGGTTAAATATGTCCCCCAAAAGTTCATGTATTGGAAATTTTATCTTCATTGTAACAATGTTAAGAGGGTGGGAAATCTAATTATTGTATTTGAAAGGTGGGTCCTTTAAGAGGTGATTAGATTGTGAGAACTGTGCCCCTGTGAATGGACTGATCCATTCATGGGGTAATGGGTGTGGTTCCAATGGCTTTATTAGGAGAGCAAGTGAGAAAGTTAGCTCTCTTTTGCTTGGCCATTCTTGCCGTGTGACACACTGGTCACCATGGGACCCTGTAGAGAGTTCCCACCAGAAGAAGGCCCTTACCAGATGTGCCCCCTGGACTATAGACTTCCCAGCTTCCAAAACTGTAAGAAATAAATTTCATTTTTTCATGAATGACCCAATTTCAGGTTATAAGCAACAGAGATGGACTAATACAAAGAGTCTAAGCTTTCATGAGATTCTCGAAGAGTTATGTGGCCCATAAAGGGCTAAGAATAAATATATAAAAGAATAAATAAATAAAAGGCCACCTACATGTCTAAAAGCAATTGGAATAAAACATTTACCGCAGGTGTACTGTGTGTCAGAAACTATGCTAGGTTGATTCAGTTTATCTTGTTTTGAACTTCCAGCAACATAATGTAATAGTTCTTGTTATAACAATAACTATGGTAATAGTAGTTATTATAGCTTACATCTACTGTGTACTTTCTATGTGCTGGGCACTGTTCCAAGCATGTATATAGAGGAACTCAGTACTCCTCCAAATCTTATTGGACAGGTTATATTTACGATTCTCCCCCATTTTACACACGATGAAACTGAAGCACAGAAAAGTTATATAATTTGAATTCACTCAGCTAGTGGCAGAGTTCTGTATTCAAACCCAGCAGGTTGACTACAGAGCTTGCTGTCTTAGCCACTCCACTGTTAGGTCATAGGTAACACATGGTAAAGCTGGGATTCAAACTTGGATAATTTGGTTTCTCTTTACTCCTTCTAAATTGAGGTCAAATGTTTTAGTAACTCACAAAGGTTAGAGAGCTAGGAGAAGGCAGAAGTTAAATTTGAACCTACGACTGTCTGATTCCCTAGCCCAAGCCCTTTGTGCTTTGTCTTCTGCCCTAGAGTGCCCCTCACTAGCTTCGTCCTCTAAGAAGGCTGCAAAGAGAGAAAAGATTTCCTTTTGTGGTGGAGTTCTAAATTACTTGGAAAGACCTAGAAAGTTTTATCACAGGGATGACCAGTTAGCTCAGTTGATTAGAACATGGTGCTAATAATGCCAAGGTCTTGGGTTCGATCCCTGAACTGGCCAGTCAAAAACAAAACAAAACAACTGTCATCACCAATCTCAAACTCCATGAAGGCAGGAACTGGAATCTCCCATTATTTGCTTTGTCCACAGCACTCACTAAATATTTGTCAATTCAGTCAGTGTATTTACAAAAACAGAGATGAGTTCTAGGACAATTCATTCAGCTGGGAACTTTAGCAGTTGCTTAAACAGCACAATGTAAATGCCTAGGCAAGTATTACAAATGAGTAATGTGACCCATTGGATTACAAAAGGAAGCAATTGGTCTGTGGCCAGACACAGTTCAAAAGCACTTTTAGATATTTTGCATTCATTTAATTCTCACAGCCACCCTCTGCACTGAAGTGCAGAAAGGTCCCACAGCTAATAGAAGAGTTGGGATTCAAATCTAGATAATTTGAATTGTGGGTGACCACTACTCCATCCCACTTGTGGACTATGTATGTCCAAAGATGATCAGTGACACACATTTGCAGAGAGTTTCAATCCATACTTCTCTGGCCTCAGCCCTGAAGGCATCAAGCTGCGGAACCAGGAAACTTGGTTGAATTTATGAATTTATTGCTAATTGTATAGTCCTGGTCACCGAGGGGAAATTTTCTGAGTCCGATAGTGTTAGAGTAGAGTTTTTCAGCATCAGCACTATTACATTGTAGAGGACTGTTCTGGTCCCTGTAGGATGTTTAGAACATCCCCTAGCTACCAGTAGTAGCTTCCCCCCGTGTATACTTACCAACAATGTATCTCTCCAAGTAATGCCAAATGGCTCCCAGGGCAGGAGGCAGGGGAGAGAGCAAAATTGCCCACTGGTTAAGAACCATACATAGCCATGGTGTGTAAGTTACCTTAGCATAGGGCTTTTTTTTTTTTTTTTGGTTTTTGCTTTTTACTTTAGTTTTTTTTCTCTATGCTGTTGTAGGTGTTTGTTTTTGTTTTGTCTTTTTTGTTTTGCGCGAGTTTGTTTTTAATCCGAAGTGGAATCTTTGCTTTATTCTTGATTCCTATTTTTGGGGGTCTGTCCATTTTACAAAACCTTTCCAAAGAGTTGGTTATAACTGCTAGCACTATGGAACATTGCTATGTGCTTGACACTCTGCTAAGCATTTTGCATGCATTTTTAAAATTTAACTATCAAAATAAGAGGGAGGTTCTGTTATTCTCATTTTACAGATAAGGAAACTGAAGTACAGGAAAGTTAAGTGACTGGGCCTAGATTTCACTGTTTTTGAGTGAGAGAGTTTGGATTTGGATGCAGACTCTCTGACACCCTTGTTTGCCTTCTTGTTCAAGATGCTATATTGCCTTCCTTTTTTGGATGAAACCTACATCATCACTAATGTGTGCCCCTTCAATTCTTGATTTCAGAGATTTGACAAATGTGGTGAAATTTGGCCTATGAATCATGATCACACTCCTATTTATTGAAATCACATGCAGTGTACAGTTAGTGGAGGCATTAGTGTAATCACCAGACATGCAGATGAGAGATGGCACTGACTGGACAAATGTCTTTCTCTTGTCACCACCAGAGTATCTCTATGTGTTTCCCTGCCAGTGGAACTACCGTCCCGATCACTGCATGTATGGAAGCAACTGCAGAGAGGCTGAGCGTGAAGGTGTGTCTGTTCTGCATGGGAACCGAGGTGTCTACCATGATGATAAGCAGCCAACTTTCAAAGCACTCTATGAAGCCATACGGGATGTAAGTGTGCTCTGCAGACATGTGCTTATCAGCATGAAGCGCTTTGATCACCAGTCCCTTTGAAGGCCATGTAGCCCTAAAGCATTCAGTTATACGAGGTTTCTCCGACCTCAGTCACCCTATATCACTATATCCACTTGCCACCTAATACTGTACTGTATCTGCTCTTGACTTAATATGTATGTCCACACAAGTCACTCATTATTTTTTAATTAAATTTACTTTAGGAGGAAATTTCATATCAGAAAGAGAACTCCTGTGCCAATTGCCATAGTAGAGGATAACGGGTTAGGGAAAAGATATAACAAGGGTACATCAAAAGTTACGTGGAAAAATTGAATTAAAAGATAATACGGGACTGGCCAGTTAGCTTGGTTGGTTAGAGCACAGTATTATAACACCAAGGTCAAGGGTTCAGATCCCAGTACCGGTCAGCTGCCTGCCCTCCCCCTCAAAAGAAGATAATATGAATCCTCCCATAAACTTTTTGAAGACCCCTCATACAATAAAAATAAAATGATATTATTCAATTCAAGCTGAATATGTTGCCTGGTTGCCAACTCCAACCTGAAAAGCAATCAGATGTCGAATCAGATGTCGAGTGGTCAGTTAGGACAAGGAGCCAAACTACAAGTAGCAATTAACCTTTTTTCTCCTAACTGCAACAGTGCAAGCAAGAAGTGAAAAGAGGCACCAGCTCCTCAGTGTTCCATTTTTCCCCAGCAAATGACACCAGGTGAGGGTCAAGTAGGTGCAGCACTGATGATGGGAATCTCACTGCCAAGGAATCCAAAAAAAAGATTCTTGCATATTTATGGATCCATAGGCCAGGGATGGGGGGCGAGAGCAGAAAGGGTTAGGAATGGAAAGGTACTGAGTCAAAGTAGAGAAAAGTGCTTCAGCCAAGTCCCCTGATAAGGAGGCCTCCAAATGGAGGTGGCTGTGCTAGGAATGCAGATACGTGCATGAACCTAGTGGCTCGAGTCCTTGCCCACAACTCTGCAAGAAATCTGCCATGCCCTGGCTGTTCACTAAATCTAGTGTAAACAGGAAGCCCCTTGCAGGTTAGAGAGCTAGGAGAAGGCAGAAGTTAAATTTGAACCTACGACTGTCTGATTCCCTAGCCCAAGCCCTTTGTGCTTTGTCTTCTGCCCTAGAGTGCCCCTCACTAGCTTCGTCCTCTAAGAAGGCTGCAAAGAGAGAAAAGATTTCCTTTTGTGGTGGAGTTCTAAATTACTTGGAAAGACCTAGAAAGTTTTATCACAGGGATGACCAGTTAGCTCAGTTGATTAGAACATGGTGCTAATAATGCCAAGGTCTTGGGTTCGATCCCTGAACTGGCCAGTCAAAAACAAAACAAAACAACTGTCATCACCAATCTCAAACTCCATGAAGGCAGGAACTGGAATCTCCCATTATTTGCTTTGTCCACAGCACTCACTAAATATTTGTCAATTCAGTCAGTGTATTTACAAAAACAGAGATGAGTTCTAGGACAATTCATTCAGCTGGGAACTTTAGCAGTTGCTTAAACAGCACAATGTAAATGCCTAGGCAAGTATTACAAATGAGTAATGTGACCCATTGGATTACAAAAGGAAGCAATTGGTCTGTGGCCAGACACAGTTCAAAAGCACTTTTAGATATTTTGCATTGAGGTAGGGGGTGAATCTCTTGTCATAGTAACACATTTTTGTGTGCATGACAATGTGTATTTTGCTAGGGAAAGTCCCAGAAAATTCCAACTCTAGAATTCCCAGAGCTGTCTTCTGGGCAGGGAAAGAGTTTAGCATCCATTGAAGCTAACACCTCTTTCTTCTGTATTTTGTGCTGTTTGGTTTTCAAAGGCCAGGTGATTTAATTAGAAAATTTTGTCTGTGCTTAGTGATTTCCTCACATTTAGATATTCAAACACTGACTCCAGGGGCAAACCCATTCAGGAGTCCAAGTGGAAGTTAAATAACTATGCAGCAGCTATGTGTGTATCAGAGCTGCTCTCGGGTTTCTTTTGTGATCTTCAGCCCTGGTTTGGAACTGAGCAATTGTAGTTCTTGAGTTGCAACTCATCTCATTTGTTTTCTGGGGGATCAGAAAGAGGTCCAAATAACTTTGTTTCATAAATGATTCTGCCTAATATATTCAATGATGTTCCTCAATTGGGCTTACAAAGACAATTTTCTTTTTTTTCTTTTTTTTTGTTGGCTGGCGGTGTGGGGATCTGAACCCTTGACCTTGGTGTTATGACACTGTACTCTAACCAACTGAGCTTAAAAAGACAATTTTCATTTGGGCATTTCAGTCAGGAAAATCACTAACCCCATCCCAAAATGTGAGTAAATAGAAACAGACTCCATCATAAAAGATATATTTCCTCATCCCCTATGATGCTGTGCACTGTAGTGTAGTGGCTTGGAGCTTGGTTTTGGACCTGCACAAACCTGGGTTCAAATTCCAATTTTGTCACTTTCTGGTGATTTGCCATTAACTGTGTTCTTAATGAATTAACTTAAATGAGGTCACCTTGGGCCTCAGTTTCCTCATCTGTGAAATGGAGATAATAATATTATCTACCTCATAAAAGTATTGTGAGAATTCAACAAAATGATGGTCTTTAAACTTTTAGTACAGAGCCTGACTTACGGTTGTGCTCAATAATAAATAGAAGTTGTTTTGATGATAAAAATTTCACACTTCTCTCTTTCCCTAGCTTATTCATGTTTTCTCAATTGCTCTCTTTTTTCTCTTCCTATTTACAAATATTTTCTCTCTGTCTTACTACATTTTCTCTTTTTCCCTTTGTCTCTCTTTGAAAATATTCTCTCTCTCTGTCACACCCCCAACCCTGTGTGTGTGTGTTTGTGTATAGAGGTAGTACAGTCTCTTCCCATCATCACCCAAGGAAAGTCATCTGTCACATAGACAGTCTTCCAGTAATTCTTCTGGCGATTATTTCTGAAATGCCTGTTTTATGCAGGAACAATACCATTTTCTAAGAATTTGGAAGTGAACATGATAGACAAAGCCCTGATTCTTATGAAGCATATATTCTGTTAGAAGAAGCCAGACCATACTCATAAACAGAGAAATGAACAAACAACCTATTATATAGTGAAAGTTGTTAAAAAGATGTCAAAGAGCAGTCTGATGGGTCTAGAGTCCCTGGGTGAAGAGTGTTTCATTAGCTGCAGTCATCAGTGAAGTCCTCTGCAAGCCTGAGACTTGATCAGGTGGGGGCAGCTCTGGGGAGATCTAGGGAAAAGTCCCTGAAGCAGGAATGAATTTGGTTTGCCCAAAGGATAGGGAAAAGGTCACCTCTACAGGAATGGTGAGATAAGCGAGAAGAGCCAAGAGAGGGTAGGGATTCACATCACCTTGAGCCTTCAAAACAAGGGAACAAGGGAAGATTGGGACTCTTATTCCAATTGTGATGGATGTCCAGCAGCAAAAAAAAAAAAAAACTTAATTGCGGTGGGAACTCCCTACAGGAAAGGCTTTGATTTAGGCTTTAAAAATGTCACCTTGGTAACTTGGTGGTTGGCATGCAAAAGTGGAAACGCAAAGGCTCTTTGTGAGACTGACTGCAGCCATCCAGGTGAGAGATAGAGTAAAGTTGGACTTGCATGGTAGAGGGAAGATGGGAAGAGTTTATGGGACTTGCTGATGGATTGGCTGTGGGGTGTGGGGAAAACAGAGGAATCAAGGATGACTCCAAGGTTCTGACCTATTCTGTTCCCATCCCTGGTGACACAGTAGTGAAAAGGACATATTCAAACCTGGCCTCAAGGGGTGTATCAAAGGTCTACATTAATGCTATGAAAGAAAACATGTCCCAAACCTGGTCTGGGACACAACCTTCTTTCATTATGTAATGCATAATCTCCTGCTGGGAAGAAACTGGCATTGCTGATAAATACACTTAAGCAATATTTTTGATGAACTCTAAAGAGATTAAGATTGTTCTAGGAAATCAGAAACCCACACGTTCTTCTGCCAGGAAAGAATGTACTGGCCTTTCACCGTTATTTTCTTGCTTTTTTCACTCTAGTCTTTCCATATAAAATGTCCTTGCCAAGAGTGAATCTTTGACTTGATCTACTAGGGGGCCTTTTTTCTTTCAACAAGATTGTAATAAAACTTTGACACATGCTAATTACTAAGTGTCTGAAAGATTTATTTTGGAAAATACTGTTCATGGACGTATTCCATGGGAAAACCAGAGAATTTAAAAAAAACAAAACAAAACTCAAAAACCCAATATAAAGTTGGGAAAAAAACAACTGCCAATATTTGGTACCTGAATTATTATTATTATTTTTTTTTTAAAAGATGCCCGGTAAGGGCATCTCAACCCTTGGCTTGGTGTTGTCAGCACCACGCTCAGCCAGTGAGCGAACCGGCCATCCCTATATAGGATCCGAACCCGTGGCCTTGGTGTTATCAGCACCGCACTCTCCCGAGTGAGCCACGGGCCGGCCCCTTGGTACCTGAATTATTAAAATAAAGTTCATTGGTAAATGCTAAACTCTGGACTTCATGAGATTAGCATAGACATATCCTAAAGTTTTTCATTATGATTGCTTCAAAAGCAAAAAATATGAAGAATTTAGTGTTTTGTTATAGTAGGTTTCAAGTGTGTATCTACTTCAGTCTTGCTTCTGCATGAACTTGCTATATATAGGTCTGTCAGAGGACACAATTACAACAAATTTAGTTAAAGATCTCAATTGGTTTTATTGTGATTCTAGAATCAGGCAACACTTCATTTCATAAAATAGAATAAGTGTTCCAGTGACCTGAGCAGAGGAGGTTGGTTTTATAGACAAAATAGGCTAAAGAAAGCAGAAACAAAGAATAAAATATGGATTGATCATTTCAAAGTTACTTTCCTTGTAAGGTGGGAACAGGGAGACAGAACAATAGAAAAATAACTGATTATTTAAAATCAGGATACTTCAGGGTATTCTCTTTGTGTATGAATTAAAATAGAGTGGGGGCCCGCCTGGGGTCCTGAGGTATGGATGGGGGGGGGGCAACCCCTCCTCCCATGACCAGGCACTCCACCGCTGCTGCACAGTTACTCTTTCAAAAGGAGAGAAGAGGGCCGGCCCCGTGGCGCACTCGGGAGAGTGCGGCACTGGGAGCACAGTGACGCTCCCGCTGCGGGTTCGGATCCTATATAGGACTGGCCAGTGCACTCATTGGCTGAGCGCGGTGCGGGCAACACCACACCAAGGGTTGCGATCCCCTTACCGGTCACGAAAAAGACAAAACTGCCAACCACTGGAGTGCATTGACACAAGGAGAGTCACCAACAGAGATAAAGAAAAGAAGAGGATGTCTCTCTCCACAAAGCCCATTTCAGAGTGACAGAAGCAGCATCTGCTCTATGATAATATTGGGGGACCCAATCACACCTCTCAGCATTGGACGGATCATCCGCACAACAAATTAATAAAGTAACCATGACTCTTTCAGAAAGAGGGGGGAAATCGAGGGTAATTAGAGGGGGGAGGGGGGAGGGAGAGGGAGATGGAGAGAGATTGGATAAGGGGCATGAAGAATAAGTATGATTTGTAATAATATATATGCTAATAATATTGATTTGATCAACATACATTAATGTTGAACCCCCAAAATATGTATAATCAATTATGATTCAATTAAAAAAAATTAAAGTAGAGGAAACTTCATTATTATGCCAATTGAAGATTTAAACTGGCCTGTTTGGGAAATTGACTGTTATCTCTCCCTCCTGATTTCTTAGTGGGCCAGACCACAATTTAGTTTAGATTTGGAACTTAGCATGAGTGACTCCATTTTGATTTTTATTCTGGTCTTTTGGGGCCTAGCACAGGAACTTAGTCCAAAACAATGGTCTCTTGTGATTTGTATTTAACAAGACTATCCTGTCCTTAGAGATATATTTGTTTTCAGATTTAAGAGCCTAAGGACCCAAATAAATCATCTTTTTTAAAGAAGTAAGGAAACTGAGGTCCAGAGAGGTGAAATGATTGCCTGCAGTTGTACAGCTGAGTCAGGAGCTGAACTTAGATCTTCAGAGGTCTTTTCACTTGTCTAAGAACACATAAACCTGTGCCTGCATGCCTACAGTAATTCCCATGTCATTTCCTCGTAAAAGTGATTTTCGTTTTAAATGGCGTTTCAGTAACTAAAATACGCTTTTTCTTTTCTTTTTTTTTTAAATCATCTTTTCAGTTTCCCTTTCAAGACAATCTCTTTCAATCCATGTATTACCCTCTTCAGCTGAAGTTTTTGGAGACTGTGCACACTTTATGTGGACGAATCCCACAAGTTTTTCTGAAGCAAATTGAGAAAACAATGAAAAGGGCTTATGAGAAACACGTCATCATCCACATCGGCCCCAACCAGATGCACTGAATATTTCGTCTTGTTGCGAGTCAATTAAGTATCTTGTGACCAAGGAAATAATCTTTAAGATGCCTGGATCTTTTTTGTGTAAATATTTAATGGTGCTCCATAACTGTTGAGTTTTAAAAGCCTTGTTAAATTTTGCTAAATTAGTTGTCCCTAAAAGGGAATATGCTTTTCTTTAATTTTTTTAAAAAATGCTATTTATCTTTGTTTTTTTAAAAAAAAAACAACAAAACTATTATTATGCATTTAACGTTGTTCAAGCAGATTGAGCTAGCTGTGAAGAGGAACTTTTGTGAGCCTTCCAATTCCTGTTAAGTGTCTGAGACCATTTCATTGGCATCTGGGGTGTTATATTTATCTAGCATTCCTGAGCCTCTTTCTATGCAATTGGCTCCCCCCACACCCTTATTATAAAAGTAATACATACTTGTGAAACAAACAAACAAACTGAATGTAGAGATATAGGTCAATGGACCAAAATCAAGATGAGATCAGCCATAATCCCATCAACCAGTGGAAAAGATTATTACCATTATAATGTAGTTCTTTCCAGCCTTTTTTTCCTACTTCGCTATTTTCCATTATAACACATATCTGAAACAGGAGGTCTCAAAAGCTGGTTCTTTGCTGAGAATTTTAGATAGGAGACTAAAAAGTTAGACAAAAGGATTATGTTTACAGTGCTTTATTTAAAATACATCTGGGAGAAACATTCAGATTTCAGCTAATCAGGCAGTGCTCAAGGATAAAGCATATATCCAGGATGTTTCTCAAGAAAAATTGATGAGATTTGTAGGGGACTGAATTATAAGAAATTTCTGTGCAACAATCGCTTCTGAAGGGAAATTCAGTAATGATGTCAAACCCAAGGGGTAACTTTAGCAAAGAGATGTGATTTTGTGTTTACCCACAGACAGAGCATTTGATCTCTTAGTCGTCAGCAGGAGTGGTCTTCTCTCCTTTTTAAACTCTTGGGCAATGGTGGAAATCAAAGGCCAACTTCAAATTTAGTATATACAAAACAAATAGTTCAGCTAATTCTGTTGGCAAGAAAATTCAACTTCCTACCAGCCTTAGAAAGGTCTCTTTAATTTTTTTTTTCCCTCTAGGGTTACCCAGCTGTTAGCCAAGGAACTATGCAGGTTTTATTGCCTAGCTATGGCAGAGGAAGTTCTATATTCTATTCACCAGAGGGATCTGGCTTAAGCCCTAGTTGCTCATATAGGTATCAGCATAGGGGTATTTTGCATAGGGGTATTATCTCCAATGACTTTTGCATAAATTATCTCCTTGATGTTTGCAACAGCCTAGTGAACTTAGTAGAGGCCTGTATCATCTCCACAAGCTAAATAAATGAATTGTGACATAAAGAAATGAACGTACCCAATGTAATTGCTATTCTCTAAGACACACAGTTCTGTGTAAGATGCATCCTATCTTACAGAGAAACTTTGGGAAATAAAAATATTAAATACCTTTTATCACATATAGAAAGCAATCTGAAAGTGTAAACTGACACAAAGAAATGAACGTACCCAATGTAATTGCTATTCTCTAAGACACACAGTTCTGGGTAAGATGCATCCTATCTTACAGAGAAATTTTGGGAAATAAAAATATTAAATACCTTTTATCACATATAGAAAGCAATCTGAAAGTGTAAAATTGAAAATATTATTTTGTTAGTATAAATATTATCCTATATACTGGAATCCAGTAGGATATCGTAGGTGCTATATCAGCAGAAAAAGTCTTACCCTGAAAAAAATCTATGAAAATCTCAGCACTGCAAAAAGGCATATAGATATCAATCAGTTTTGTTATGCAGCACCATTATGGTACAGTGGTAACAAATTTAAGTCTAAAATGTTAGGTAATAACCCGTACTTTCCTTTGGTTAGTTGGGTGGCCTATGTTTTTTTTTATTTTTGTTAAAGAAACTACCATTATGATGTGAAACTCTTACTTTTTCTGTTATATTTTGTGTTTTACCACTAGAGGTGACATCATTCATTATTTTATATCTTTAATGCTAGTCTTTCCGTCTGTGGTTTGGGCAGATAGGATGTGGAACAATTTTTGAATTGTCTTTTGGATGAGGGAAAATGCATCCTATAAACCCACAGATAGGGTTTTAGTGAAAGCCAGAATGTGAACATAATTTCCTAACTTCCATCTCAGTTTTCTTTCTCCTTGTTCAGAATGGCCAGTAAAACCCACAACTGTCACTCAGATTTGCTGGTGGCTCACTGACCAAAAGAAGTTCCTTTCCTCATTTGGTGAGTCCCACAAAAAATCTGCTGTGAAGACTTCAAATATAACAATGCCTTTTCTTTTATGAAAGCCAGGGTTACCTATAACCCATGGCTATTGGTGCTGGTCTGAATATCGAGGACAAGGTTGACAGTCTCAGTGGTAGAACCCTAGAACGTTCTGGAATGGTGATGTATAAGAATGTGAAACCTTAGAACCTGATTTTCTACCTTGGAATTTCTGGGCTGTATCCTGAAATTTTAGGTGAGTTTGGTGGAGAAGGTAGAACCCTAGAACGTTCTGGAATGGTGAAGTATAAGAATGTGAAACCTTAGAACCTGGTGTGATTTTCTACCTTGGAATTTCTGGGCTGTATCCTGAAATTTTAGGTGAGTTTGGTGGAGAATTTAGGGGAAATTTGCTCTTTTAATACCTATTGCCTGGAAATGCTAATTATTTTCTATAGCTATATTATCATGAGGCAGTATTTTCCCTGCCTTTGATAATTCCCAGCAAACTACTATATTTTGAAACCTGGGAGGCACAAATTTTAATTCAGTGGACTTGTAAAACATGAGATCTGTAGTCTGAAGTTTGCAAAGCATACTACCCTATATGTCACATTGAATCACTATTGGAAAGAGCATGAGCTGGTTCTCATCTTTCCTCCTGTCCTGCCTTCTCCTCTCTTCTCTTTTCTTCTTTTGTCATTTCTTTTAAAATTCTGTTTAATGCATATAACTGTGGAGTTCCATTGGAGAATGAAAGAACGCTAATAGCAAATGTGACAATATTTTTGTATGCATTGAGATTAAGGCTTTCAGCAGCAGGGCCATTAGAAATGCTGACAATATTTTTCTTGCTGAGTTTTTCTCCAATTTAAATCTCAGAAATTGTGACTTACATTGAAAATTTCAATATTTAAAAAATTAACTGGCTAATATCAATTTAAGTTTTTCTTCAATTTTCAAAATGACAATTTAGCATTTTGAATATAATGCTCCAAGCTTTACTATTTGTATGAAATCTCTATTTCATTCAGTGCTTTCATCACAAATTGTTGTGACTTTTACTGAATTTGGTATTGAAATTGGTATTTATGTGGACTCATGGAGGTTGAAGAGTACTTCTTTTATTGCAGTTATTGTGTTCAGAAGCAAAAACAAACAAGCAAACCAAACCATAAAAAAGGTTATTATTATTCACAATGATTGATCACAAGATAATGATCCACAAAATAATAATGGAATAATCACTCCAACCCACCCTGAAAACAGGACAACACTTACACAAATTTAGATTTATGTATAAATATTGCCTGATTTTTATACATAAAAGATAAACTGTGTGTATTTGATAGAACACAATGAATATGATTTCCTGACCAAATTCACATACGTTGAGTTCCATGGGAGCACAAATTATATTCTCATTTAACAGAATGATAGGTAGCCTTTCTTATGTCTTTCTGTTTCTCTCCTACTTTTTCACATTCCTCTTTTTTATTTTTTCCTTTTCCTTTTTGTCTGTGATGTAAGCTTCTGAGTAGTACCAAGAAGCTCAGTTTTAGTGGCAGAGTGAGAGAATTGGGGAATCCCTGTGCAGGTAGGACTAGTTCTAATCTTTAGGTCAAATCTTTTTTTCTTCTATAAGATGACCCGTAAGGGGATCTTAACCTTGACTTGGTGTTGTCAGCACCACACTCTCCCAAGTGAGCGAAACGGCCGTCCCTATATAGGGATCTGAACCTGTGGCCTTGGTGTTGTCAGCACCACACTCTCCCAAGTGAGCCACAGGCTGGCCCTAGGTCAAATCTTTATAGGAGTTTTCCAGAAATTAAAAAAAAAAACAAAACACACACACGTGCGTGCGCACACTACACCGTATGCCTTTTAAAGGAGGAGCCAACATTTGTTATACCTGTGAATTGAAGAATTACAGGTAGATCAAATCATTTCACAATTGCATTGCTGGTATTTAAAGCTGAATGAGATTTTTCTCTGACAAAGAAACGCAGAGCTTTGTCCTAGTTTTTGTTCTTCACAGGTCAAAACTGGAAATGTTCTCTTGAGTCTTCGAGATGAAATGCTTGTGTTTGTGTCACCATGATGTGCATGAACGTGTAAGAATTAGGTGCAATTTCTGCTTCATCAGTTTTACATGTTTGTGTTGTCACTGAAAAAGTGCACGCATTGTTTATAGCTCCCAAGGAGACCTTGAATGCATTTTTTATGTTGGAAAACTTTCTCTCTCTCTGTTTATTTTTACAAAGAAATGAGTATAAAAAAGAATACTCCAAAGAAAAGGAATTACTAAAGCAAATTAAAAGAAATGCAAGTATTATGATTTAATTACTGTCTCGTTTTTTTAAATGCTATCTCCTGTTTTGCCTTTTAAAAAAAAAATTCTTTTAAAAGATGTCTTTTTGTATTATTTTTATTTTAAAAAGATGACCGGTAAGGGGATCTTTTTTTTTTTTGTCTTTTTTCCGTGTCCGGCAACGGATTGCAACCCCGGACCGGGTACCGGCAACGGGATCGCAAACCTCGGCGTTGCTCCCGCGCCTCGCTCAGCCAGTGAGCGGAACCGGTCCGTATGTGGGATCCAAACCCTCGGCCG